AGTTTAATATTTTTTAAATTAATATCTAATTCTATATATATAGATTTTCTATAACATAAAAAAAATAAATAATTAATTACAATTAATTACAAAATGTATAATTTACCCTTTATACTATTTAACTTAATCTACTTTTTCTTTAAAATTATTGTATCATACATTTAGTGTACTAGTGTTCTCTTGAAATATTATGTTGTTTTTAACTGTTTTCAATTAATTTTTATTTGATTTCTAACAGGTCTGAACATTTTGGGCAGGCCACACCTTTACTTCTCACAGTAGCTGTTATTGAGCTCAGTGATATAGCATTTGCTGTAGGTTCTGTTTTTCTCTTATCCATTTTCTGGCATATGGATAGATATTGGATTGGACTTTCTGGTTAACTTTTTCTATGAAATACTTTATTCCTCAGGTTGATTCAATACCGGCTGTTTTTGGTGTTACGCGGGATCCCTTCATTGTTTTCACTTCCAATTTATTTGCCATATTAGGTATTTCTTGTTGTTTATTCTTATATGAACTTCTTGGCAGTTATATTGTGCTTTTTCGAAAGGTATATATGTATGTTCTGATTGTGTATCTGGAAGTCATACTCAGTTTGAAGTCTTCTTCGGAACTAGATGTGATTCTCTCTCCCTGGTGTTTTCTTATGCATGATTAAAGAAAATTGTCTTACATTTTATGTCTGCTAGAGGTGAATTACCTCTTGATTTATATAACAAGTATAGATTTCAATTCTGAGAGTAGATACATGGTAAAATCTGTGTTCTTATTGTGAAAATTCCATGGCCGTCTTTCTGTTACATGCAGGCTTAAGGTCACTGTACACTCTTATTTCTGAGGGAATGGCAGACTTGGAATATTTGCAGGTACAAGATTTACTTGTCTTAACCAAATTTCTGACTCTTTTTTACATAAAAGGTGCCAGATATTATTGTGTATGTAAAATCCTTCCATGGTCCTCCTTACTTATCCAGTATGGGCTGATACAAAGGTGAGGTTATATCAGTATGGTCATAAGGAGTTAATAACAGACCACGTAACAGCTAGTATTATATGCACATGAATTCTTCTCCCCAACCTCGTTCCAGTTCCCACTACCACATTTTCTTTAAGTTAGATGTGGAAATGAACTAGTAATATATCTTGGAAAACAAAGAAGTAGTCCTCTATTTCCCAGTTGTCTGCTGAAGCCAAGTATTTTTCTTGGCTTCCACCACCAGTGAACTGTTATGGATACAGCAACTATTTCATGATTTTCATATATTTAGTCCGTCTCCTGTTTTAATTTTTTGTGATAGTCAAGTTGCTATTCATATTGTTTCGAATATGGTATTTCATGAGTGAACTAAATATATTGAAATCTATTGCCATTTTATATAGGAGCAGATTAACAAAGAGACTATTAAATTGTTACTTATCTGTACTCAACATAAGGTTAAGGATATTTTTACCAAGGTCCTACCTTCTACTGTCCTATGTCCTTTATAATTTAAGACGGTCATTAGAAACATACTCGGTCCACCTTGAGGGGGAGGATTGGTGTATATGGTGGTGTTAGTGTTATTTTATTATTCTTTTTTTGTCCCAGGTTTATGTATAACTAGCCCATATAGAACCTGTTTTTTTTTTCAGTTAATGAAAAATATTTTTCTCACTGTCGAGTTTCGCTCTCAACACAGCAATAGATTGTGTCAATTGCTTAGTGCACCCCAGTCCATGTGTTTTAAATTGCAAATCCACCCATTATTAAATGGTACCATATCACTGCTATCCAGTCTTATCCAATGGATGTAAAAGAAAATAATCATTTGTGCGCTAAGAATATTATGGTGAAGTTATTTTGTTTCGAGGGCACTGTCTCCTCCATAGAGAAGATTTTGGGGAATGTGGGTTGATATATTGTATGATTCTAGTTATGAATTCCTCTTCTTTTATACATGGGTGAGAGATCATATGTGCTTTTTTTAAGTAAATAAAAAGTTAGGTAAGATTTTAACTTGTAGCGCCTATTATAACTAAGGGAATATTATGGATGAAGTTATTTTGTTTCAAGCGCAGTCTCCTCCATAGAGAAGATTTTGGGGAATGTAGGTTAGTATTTTGTATGATTCTAATAATAAATTCTTCCTATTTTGTACATGGGTGACAGACCATATGCTGTTTTTTTAAGTAAATAAAAAGTTAAGTAAGATTTTAACACGTAGCGCTTACTCTAGTTAAGGGAATAGTTCGATCTGAATATTTCGCTTATTCTAATTAAGAGATTTTAACGCGTAACGCGTAAACACATCTGAATATTTCGATTTCTGAGAAACATAACAGATTTATTGAGAGTAAGTCCTACTTAGTTATTACAGTTTTACTACAATAGTGAATTAAGTTCTTAATTTCAGAGAATCAAGCATTATAGGTTAATCACCGCTAATCTATAATACATGAATAAAGTGATAAATTTTATAGTTTTAATGAAGTTTGAATTCATAATTTTTAAATAAAATAGAAGAGTTTTAATTATAAAATCACCATATTATTGGTGCTAATAGTTACCTTTTAATTAATCTTTTATCTTTTTCAAAATTTGCTTATATTAATGATGTTTTCCGAAGTTAATAATCAAATTTCACGTACAGGATCTTATCTTTCTTGATATCCAGCAAAATTTTCACCCTCAACATATTGTGCCATATGCTGAAAATTTGGGATTATTTACTGATAATTTTACTTTTCCTGGCCTTTCTCTATCAGCCTTCAATTGGAATTGTTTTGGGCTTCATTGGTTGCAAGATGATCTTGGATTTCTTTGGTGCGTGTTCTACCATGCCATTCTTTTTATTCATATAATTATTTATTCCATGATGAAGCGGCAAATTCAATTTTTCAAGTTTCCTCCCAGGGTTTCATGTATCAACTGAGGCGTCTCTCGGTTTTGTAGCAACAAGTCTGACTGCTGGGGTGCTCTTAAGTCTAATGAATAAGTCTGATAGCTAACGAAGCAATTCAGGGCAGGTGATTATTATTTCTTTTATGGATGAGCCAAGCAATTGGATGCTCTTTCACTATTCCTGTCTGATATCCAACTAGCAATGCTCTTACCACATCCCTACAGTATATGTTGTGTTCTGGTATGGAGTAATCTTTTTATTGTTCTGTCACTGCCTTCTACTGAAATGAAAGCTTAAAGGAAAATCTTAAGAAATACTTTCCATCACAACTTGCATAAATATATATTTTAGAAGAATATATATAAGGTATGCCTATTGGCACTTCAAAAAATTCTAAAGGAGCTCCAATTTTTGCTAAATTTTTTAAATGTCGAACATAAGTTTTATTGAAAATCTCACTATAAAACCTTCCCTTGTATTTTGACTTCCCAGACATTATTATTTTTAGCTTTAATTACTTTTTAACATTATTCTCTCTCTTTTTTGTCTCTTTCTGTATATATTCTTTTATTTTTTGAAGTCAATTTCATTTTTTTATCGCTCCCTTTTAATTTTAGTTATTAATGATATTTTTATTATATAAACCATACGTATTTTATGTTTTATTTACAAAATATTGTTATATTATTAAATCCAATAGCTTTTATTATCAGAACCCTTTTAAATTTTTAATTCATTAACTACTAAATTAGTTACTCTAATATTATCTTCATATAAGTATTGGTAATTTAATTATTAACCAACTAAAAGTAATTATAAATATTCACATTATAAAGTAGAAAACTAGTATAAGTATATTGAATGTAAGATACAACAAAAAATAATAGATAGGCAAATATAGCATCATAATAAATTTTATGTTTTCCATCATCATATCCAAAAATAAAAATTATATTCTACTCAAAAGTCGTATAGGTAATTTAAAAAATTTAATTATTAAAATACACAAACACATATTATTAGTAAAAGACATTACTGAGTTTAATAACAAAAAAAAATAAATATTTAAAGAAAGTTATATTTTTACAATGAAAATATAAGAAAAAGTTATAGAAGTAGATATAGAAAGATGCAAGTAAACTGAAAAGATAGGAATTAAATATATAAAGGAAGATCTAAGATTAAATGATATTAATTAAATTTCAACTATTAATTAGTGTAGATGAAGTTTAATATTATTACTAATTTATAATTATGTAAATAGATCAATGAGGAGTATTTTTGTCATGTAATTTAGTTTACAAGAAAAAGGGGTGTAAAAGGAAGAAGTGTTTTAGAAATCTTCAATCATGTAGTATTTGAAAAATCTGTTTTTGCACAGATGCTAGAATTGCACATGATATGCAACAAAAACCAATGATAGAAATGATTAAATGATACATTCTGAACTATGATCCTCCTCATTAAGCTGTGTTTGGAACAAATAAATTAAGAGTTCATTTCAATTCATTTGTTAATGAATCTTTAGATTTGGAATAAATCATGAACTTATAAAATACTTTATGGAATTCAATGCATTATTGTGTATTTTTTCTAGAACTATTTTGATATTTTTGTTTGTATATTAAAGTATATGCTTATCTTTCACTGTCACTTCCTTTTAAACCACCTAAAATCATTTCTAAATTCTATTAGTTTTATCAGAGTTTAAAATATATTATTTCAGTTCTGCTTATAATTCATTTTTAAGCATAAAAATTAACATTTGAAAATAAATTTCACAATATTTGTTGGATTAATTTATTCCAAACACATGCTCAGAAGACTGGCAAGTTGTTAAGCTTTAGGTTCTCCAGAAATAGAAAATTGTTAAGCTGAGCTCAGATTGGATTTCCCCTTTGCCTGAAAACTACGAAACAACTTAAGTTAGAACTGAAATCTTGGAGTGTGATTTTATCCATTTATGAAGCATTGTGCTGGTTGTAATGCTTGTTGACAAAGAAATTTGTAGTGGTGGGACAAGGAAAGAAAGTAGCTGCAAGTAGTGAAACTTGTAATCATTGGTTACTAACATCATCAAATGAAATATTTCATAACTTTTGACTGAGAACCGCATGATGCAATCTGGTAATTGTTTAAGTATTATTCTCTTCATTTGTTTTGAAATAATACATATGGTCATTATATGGATGTCAGAGGTAAATATAATAAAAAGAGAAATGTTAGAGATTATGAATAATTCTAATATATTGAATATAATCAATAATTTATTTGTTCCTTGACTATAGGATCTTCGCATAACTGTCTTTAGTAAAAACTTTGAGAATGTCGATACTTTACAATAATCTTCTCTCTATTATCTTGATTTGGTTGGTTTATTGTGGTGTAAATGATTTCTTCTTCTGTAAAATTCATTTGTAAATCAGTTTTTATTTTTAAGTTGTTCCCAACATTAAATGATTCAATTCCAAACTAACTATGAGTGAAATGAAAATAGTATATTTCAAATTTTATTAGAATTGACAAAATTTTGAATTGAAATAATATTTTTTTTAAAAGTAAGTGAATCATAAAAGTATACCTTAAAGAAATTTTACAAGTTCTTGACATCATATACTGTGCTGCCATTCTTGGTTAAGAGTTTCTCTTCTTTTTCTTACCTCAGTTTGGAATTGTTTCCTATTTATGATGGCAGAAAAAAGAAGGCAGGAAACTTTTGGCCATTGCAGTTGACAAAGGCTAGCAGAAGAATCCTAGTTCTTCCTTGATGATCTGCCAAAAAATGTCATATTTGGAGATTAGCAGTCCCCTAAATTGGACCATTCTGAATCGTCCCTGAAGAACTCAATAACTAATTGATATTTTCAGCTCAGTATTCAAATTTTTTTTGATATATTTGGATCAATAATAGCAAACTCTATTTTGCTATACCTTGTTTCAGTTTGTTTTCTTTGAGACACCCAACAGTATATATGATCCAATTAGGTTAAATTATTTGAAAAGCATTGAAAACCAATACGAGGGCTCTTGGAACTTTGTTTATATTTCCTTTTTATCTTTTCCTCTCAAGTAAAATTGGAGTATTTGTAATACCCAAAGATTTTTTATTTTTATTTTTATTTTTATTTAATTTAGAATTTTGTTAATTTTATTTTATTTTAATAATTAATTTATAAAATTTTAATTTAATTTAATTTAATTTAATTTAATTGAAATAAAAATAATAATAATAAAATAATGGGGTAAAATTATTTTTGAAATTTAATTGAAATTGAATTTGAGAAAAAAAGGTGAAAATTTGGATTCTTGAGTATTTTTGAAAAGAAAATAAAAAATTAGGGGTCAAAACGTAATTTAAAAAAATAGTGCAACGTTAGCAGTCCGGTCAGCAGCCCCAGCCAACGAGGATACGCCGCGTGGCAGGACACTAACGCACGAAGCCACGCGGGACGGACACACGT